TTTTTAAAATGTGCAGTGCTGCATTGACTTAACTTAAAATTATGAATGATCAGTTCCAGTTCAATCGATTATTTTAACAGTATCTAAATCCTTTCTTTTTGAGCCTTTCCTTTGTGATAATTATATATTACATACCGCTTCTGGGTGTTAAATCGTTTGAGTCATGTTTATAGTTTACAACATCTGCAGTTGAGACTGATGCCTGAATATCATATGACCGGCGTTATACGCCAGGACTTTAAGGAAAACGTGTTTTAAATAGTTGGCGATCCTCAAATGTAGCTGGGATTGCTGATTGCTGTTTAGGAATAGATTCAGAAAATGACATTGAACTCTTTGTTCTTCGTTATTTCTTCAAGGACCGTACCTTACATAATTGGTGCATGACCAGTATGTCAGTCGTCCTTCCACTAGACTGCAAACTCGTACTAACTGGACTATTACCACGCAGTATCATAGCACCTGTCACACCCAACTCACCGAGAATTGCTTCAAAAGCACCCCGGCCGTCACCCTTGTGTTACACAAGCTATATGCGCTCTTGTAGAATTTATAATATTGTGTACAGGGTGTATTTTTTTTACCAAATCCCCACGTAAACTAGATGTAAACAGCGGAGTCGTGTCACCGCAACTAATTTTCTCTAACCAAATTGGGCTCATGACCTGAAATTTACTCGTACCAAGGCACACCCTAAACACCTTGAGTTTCTGAACTTTATCTTTAAGTTCAAACCTAACTTTAAGTCTCCTTCACCTCAGTAGTAGACTGGAATATAGAAAACTAGGGCCTGTTTCACAAAATATTTTTTTCCTCAAGAATCGGTCTTTACTTCTTTTCAGAAATTTTAATGTTAATTAACGAGTTTTCTTTACTTGGCACATATTTTATCTTGTAGAAAGTAAATGGTCTAACGATGTTTTTTTTTTAAATATATTTAACCTACGGTAGGCCTACTTGTAAGGTTTAGTTTACTTTTATTGAGATTGAGGAGCCGGGTGTCCGGCTCATCTAATGCAATTAACATTCGTTTGCATAAATGATAACTTTTCATTCAGGGTGGTGCCCCATGAGTATGCACTTTATTTCATTCAGCACAGTGTCTCCGTAGGAGGTACACATGGTATACTCTTTCTTTTTGATCAGTTATTTTCGCTTTTGCTACTTGCAATTTATAATTGGAATGTCAGAAAAAAAGGAATGTCAGAAATGGTGAGTTTTTAATACTGTTTATTGATTATTATTGACTATTGATGATTATTTAATTTTATGTTTTTGTGTAAGTAAACTGAAGCATGTAAATAACCGGTAGTGAGGGCATTATTGTAATTTTCTTTTTCTATTCTTCTTTTTTAGTTTTTACGTGTCTTGTGAATTCCTGCGTGAAATAAAATCAAGGTCCAGTGAACAACTTATGCTTTTCCATGACCTTTAATTTATTTGTATAGCCCTTGCGTGCTATACTACTAGAACGACGATCGGAAGTCAAAAAGATGCTTTCTTCTATTTTATAGAGTACACCAAAGCTTTCAACAAGATGAGACACGAAGAAATGATGAAACAACTGAAATGAATGAATATGGATGAGAAAAATAAGAAATAATGAGGAACTTGCACTGTACTGAATTAAAACAACGTGGTGATTTCAGAAAAATAAGGAGAGGTGTAAGGCATATAACAGCAATATTAATAATTATCAACAACCACAACAACGATTATCATCATCATTATTATTATTATATCGAAGCTTTATTCGACATCTTTTATTGGGAAGGTAATTTCATATGAAGCAAAGTATATATATATGTATATCGTTTTTCTTTAAATTCCACTTCTCCTGTATATTGCTAACATCCGTCATTAGCATTTTAAAAAAAGTTTTTTTCTATTTTACATGTTCAGCAAATCTATTAACTGAATCTAATAATCAACCGAGACGTCCTCATATTAAGTACAAAACAATCCTTCAGCTGGTTAGTAGTTGTCAATAGAAATCCAAAATATTTGCGGAAGTTCAAGATAAAATCGTAGTTTTTTAGCTGTGTGAGTGCTTAAAATGGAATTAAAACAGAAAAGAAAGCCATGCCCAAAAAGTCGTTTTTAACAATAAAATAAATACAAAAAAACTGTTTACGTTATTCAGGGTTCACAGCAAATCTGCAGACTGGTCTATCAATTCTACAAGGTATTCACCTGCTTTGAACTTTTTAACAGTATACAAAAGTCTGCGAAAATACTGAAGATCAAAATTGTGATTATACATTGGAGGAGAAAAGACGCGAATTTCTTATAAAATTCATATGCTGAAATAAGATATAAGTAAAAAAGTATAATACCAATGTACATGTATGCATTCACTTAATCATTCTGCAAATTAAGTTATTTTTATATGTCACTTTAAATGAGCTATATGCTTGTTCGAAATGTTGAATAAGACATCTTTATCTGGAATGCACTTGATCAAACATCAATACTTGGGATACTGTGCCGGATGTCCCCCTGGGTAAGGGGGTGGAGCATCAGGGGCAGCTCGTGCCATTTGTGGGTTGTGAGGAGGCTGCTGGGGGTACCCGCCTGGCTGTGGCGGTGGCGGGTAGGCAACCGGTGGCTGAGGCAGGTACGCCGGCTGTGGCTGAGCCATGTACCCGATCCCTTGATTGATCATCTGCGGGGCTATCTGTGGGGCATTGATGTTAGACATGGAGTTGGATGAATTCACGGTCACATTCACACTCGGCGTACCTGGAAAAGACATAAGAAGGATATTTGCATGATTACGAAATATGTATATAAATGTTGAATGATAATCAAAATGTTAAATTAAAATAAATACTTTATGCCTTAACTCTGATGAACCTGCATCTAACTTAAGTAATAGAGCCAGTGCTAAAAACCAGGTTACGCACATTTTTCTCGTAAATTGCATTTGTAAATTAGATTATTTGTGCCAAAGTTAAATTATCGAAAAAAGGACAGTGCTATAAAATTGTCTTCTTTAAAATTGCTTTAAGAAATGCTTCTCTGTTTGTCGATTTGTCTTCTTTAAAACTGCTTTAAGAAATGCTTCTCTGTTTGTCGGACCATGTTTTTTTATGTTCGCCTGTCTGTCTGTTTATTTGATATATTGAATACCTTGTTCGATTGTTTTGGTGTGTAAAAATGCAATCAGATAAAACAATGTGGCATCCATGCAGCACAACTGTCGGGGATTAAAGAGTCTTCACCGCATGAAAGACTTAATACCCCTACGAGAGGTTACACACAACAAAAGATTTTAATCAACACAAACTCTTACAATGCAGGATTTCTAGTGTAGAAGGACCACACAATCCAAAGGCCCTTGAAGTTAAGTTGCTTTTGAAATGTATCAGCACTCATCTCATCGAAACAACGCAAACTTAACCAATACTAGGAAATCAATCATAAGATATGTACCAAGTCAATTCAAAATTTCAAATTAAAACGGCTAAAATTGCACATACTTGACCGTTCCCTTTCTCTGTATACCACTGTCGTCTGCCTTTCTCTCCTTTTACAGATGCATCTACATATACAGATGAAGAATATCACGGTAATGATAGTACTGACCAGTCCGCCAATGATACCACCTACGTTGACGTATGCCACTGAAACTACCAAAGAAACTTTAACTTAAAACGAAAACGTTAAAATCGAGTCTATCGAACGCTCTTTATTGAAACAGTTTGTACACGATATAAAAACTATTATCTATATAACGTTGGTGATCCGTAGAAGAAAAGCATCAGAACCAAGTAAGATGAGTGTCATGATTATACTATATATACACCTTGTATATTATTGTACCATGTCGACATTGTTGTGCGTCACTGCTTAATAAGCTATACTGTATAATACAAGTTCTGCGACTAAAAAAAAAAAAAAAAAAAAAAAAAAAAAAAAAAAAAAAAAGCTATTTCTTTAAATCTCTTTAGGAAATTAAAGCTATCATTTTAATTTCTTCCATTTTACAGAATGGTCCTAAAACTTTTTAAATCCCCAGTCACTACAGCAGCATTTAGGGTTTTTTTTTTTTTTTTTGCAAATTTATAATTTTTGTTACTTTTCCGAAAAGGAAATAAAGCCGGTTAATGCACTGGTTGCTTTCAACGACAGTTCTGAACTTTGTTTTTTTTTAACCTTTAGGGCGCGCATATAATTAAATCCATTTCCATTCATTGTTGTTTTCGACCTGTACCTGTACTACTGCCACTGCTAACCTCGGAAACGTAGAAAGTGAAGTCGTAGTTAGTACTCGTACTCGTAGTTGTCAGCTTCACAGTGAGGTATCTGGACGTGGAATAAATGGCCGATGTGGAATAGTCTCCACAGGTCATTGTCCTCAACTACAATAATGATTAACATCGGGATTAGTCTGAAATCTAGGCTATTTTTATTTATTTATTATTTTTTTAAAAGCTCGTTCCGTTATACATTCACATCTCACCACTGGATGTATCCCCAAAAGATAACCTAAACAAAACATAAGCATGCAAAATACAAACAGTGTGTTCGTTAACTACTCTAAACAGACCTCTTACTTGAAGGGTGACAACGAAATGAAAAACACATCTACATACATGTACTTTGATATATTTACCGTAATATTAGACAAGGCAAGATAGGAATGTACAGCAATCTCACCTTATTGCTGTATGTTGTGCTAGAACCGTCATAGAAGGTTAAGGTCGTTCCACAATTAAAATAAGAACCAGTCAGGAAGGTTACTTTCACTCTTGTTGAACTGGAGAGAGTATCAAAATACAAAGTGCACGTCCTGCTCGGCAGGGAGGGTTTGTTCAGACTGTCCTCCCATGCTTTCACGGTATGGGAATAGGAGTACACGGTCTGTGTTGCAGCACCACAATCGTTATCACTGTCATCCATGTAGTCTTGAAATAGAGTTCAACAGCAACATTTATTTGCTGTCATTGATATATACTAATATCATTAAATCAAATTAATTTTACATTACAGGACGGGACTTTGCCTTCAAACGCACACTGCAGTTTTTATTGATATCAACAGTTATACATGTATATGTAGGCCTACATTGTATTCATGTTCGATTCATGATGTGAGTAGTGGATTCAGATAAGGGGGGCTCGGGCTTTGGGCCAAAGATAAATTTTATTACCTGTACCTGCGTTCATTTTTAAAATGTAACGATCGAAATATACGTTTCCGAGGTGGATAAAGCACCAGTGGCGTAAAAGCATAAACCTCCCCTGGCAATAATAATAATAATAGATAAGCACCCCATTTAATGATATAGAGGAGACAGAGCACCGACTTACACGTGGCACCAATGACCTCTTTCCCGTGCAATGTCATCATGCACAACACGATGAACAGGGCTGGAATCTTCTCGCTCAACATGGCTTGTTATTCTAAAAGAAATAAACCAGGAAAATAACATGCAACGCCCTATTACTTGTTGCCTCCCTTTGACTGTTTACCTTCATTCTTGACCTTAGTTTATCATCAATTACAACCGATCTCGAAAATAACAGATTTGATTAAATTTGCAGTAAAGCTCGTACATGGACTTAATAAAAATGATAAGATTATAATGGTGATCCATTGAAAAATTAATTACTTAATTCAGTCCATGCAAAAACGTTATGGAGGGAATTTGATGAAATTTTCAGGATATGTCGGCCATAGTTAATAATGAGGTGAAATTGTATTTAATCAATTAACTAGTAACTTAACTAGTAATTTAATTAATTAACTAGCATTAATATAAATAAACACTTAACTAATCAATAACTTAATTGATAATTAGTTTATGAAAATAAATATACAATTAATAGATTCATTGATTATCTAATTGATTAATGATTAATGCTTATAAGCACTGCATGAGTTCCCTTTGCGGATGTCTTCGCTCTTTGGACGCATTTCCAAGGTTTGGAATGCATTTGCTTTGGCGCTACATGTACAAGCGCAAAGTTCACTTTCGCGATGAAGTCCAACAAGCGTCTCCAGGTCACCTTTAAGCTTGTTTATTAATAGTTAACAGGAGATATACTTTAATATGTATCATGTGTAATGTATTAATTACGACTTGCCAATCTTGTATATCTTTCTTTGATACGGAGGTAGTTGTTAGAAGACACTGTACATCGCGAATTCTGTAGGCTGTATGTGATATGTAAGAAATCATACCCTTGCACACTAAGCTAGTTACAATTTAAGGTATTAGAAGGGAAATTTTACCCGACAAATGCAAGAAGGTTGAGTTATTCCATGAGAACCTTTCACAGGGTTTGACAATTTCATAACCAAACAGGTACATGGCCAGGATTGCCTGGGTAAGGCTGACCGAAGGAAACCTCACATAGGGAAGAAAGAACGTTAACAAACAAAAATTATCTCACACTACCTTTGCACCGTATGTAGAACGCAACTACTCCTCAAACGTTACAAAACTTTTTGACTCCACGCGCCGTCGCGTCAAGTACATTCTCCAATCCAGAGTATACTGTACAAAATTCTAAAATGTGAATTTGATTTATTTTAATATCGTTGCCTTATTCATTGGTTGCACAATCAGCAAAATTTTGTGAAAAAATCCTTTTAGAAGTTGAATGGAAATTTTATAATAATAAATACACTGGCGCTGTAAGTGGAAGGTTTATATTTGCGATCAAATCCGACAAGTGTCTTAAGACTACTTTAAAGCTTGTTTATTAATAGTTAACAGGAGATATACTTACATAATGTGTAATGTATTAATTATGACTTGCCAATCTTTTATATCTTTCTGTGATACGGCGGTTGTTGAAAAAAGATACTGTACATCGCGAATGCTGTAGGTTATATGTTATATGTCATATGTAAGAAATAATACCCTTGCTCAGTAAGCCAAAAACAATCAAAGGTATTATAGAAGGGAATCTCTACCCGCCAAATGCCAGAAGGTTGGGTTATTCCATGAGAATCTTTCACCGGGTTAGGCAATGTCATAACCAAACAGGTACATGGCCAGGATTGCTTGGGTAAGGCCGACCAAAGGAAACCACACATAGGGAAGAAAGAACGTTAACAAACAAAAATCATCTCACACTACCTTTGCACCGTATGTAGAACGCAACACCTCTGCAAACGTTACAAAACTTTTAAACTCCACGCACCGTAGCGTCAAGTACATTCTCCAATCCAGAGTATACTGTACAAAATTCTAAAATGTGAGTTTGATTTATTTTACTATCATTATCTTATTTGTTGGTTGCACAATCAGCAAAGTTTTGTGAAAAAATCCTTTTAGAAGTTGAATGGAAATTTTATAATAATAAATACACTGGCGCTGTAAGTGGAAGGTTTATATCTGCGATCAAACCCGACAAGTGTCTTAAGACCACTTTAAAGCTTGTTTATTAATAGTTAACAGGAGATAAACTTTAATCTGCATAATGTGTAATGTATTAATTATGACTTGCCAATCTTGTATATCTTTCTTTGATACGAAGGTTGTTGTTAAAAGATACTGTACATCGCGAATGCTGTAGGTTATATGTCGTATGTAAGAAATCAGACCCTTGCTCACTAAGCCAAAAACAATTAAAGGTATTACAGAAGGGAATTTTTACCCGCCAAATGAAAGTTGGGTTGTTCCATGAGAAACTTTCACAGGATTAGACAATGTCATAGCCAAACAGGTACATGGGCAGGATTGCCTGGGTAAGGCCGATCGAGCGAAATAAAACCTAGAGAAGAAAGTAAACACGCCTCCTCTAAAAAAAAAAAAAAATACAAAAAAAAAAAAAAAAAAAAAAAAAAAAAGACCACGTCCAGTCAGATCGTATAGCATCTACAACTCTGGCAAGCAACTGGGCAATGATACTGTTCTAAGATGAAAGCAGGTTTAACCTTGTCAGAAGTGATGGACGCGTAAGGGTTTGGGAAACAGTTGGCAAGAAGTATCTTTCCCATTTTCCACCTCTGAACGATGGGACGCACCCCGCATAATTCATAGCATGGGTTGTATTGGTTACTTTGGTGTGGGCGAGCTGGTATTGGTCAATGGATACCTTAACGTATAGCAATGCATCCTAGCACTGGAAAGGAATTTTAAAGAATTCTGTCGAGAATACCTCTGTGGACAATGCCTATCCAGTTAGGTTTCAAAATAATAATGCTACCCCATGCGAATGGAACAGTTGGTCATTTGCAAACCAGATCCAGCCCCCCCCCCCTCTCTCCCAAGGCCAGCTCAATCACTAGATCAGAAACTCAATGACAATGTGTGGGATATCTTCGGAATAGGATTACTAATTGATAACCCTGCAAACAAAAATGATCTTATACTACCTTTGCACCGTAGGTGGAACGACACTACTCCGCAAACGTTACAAAACATTTTGACTCCATACGCGTCAAGTACATCCTTCAATCCAGAGCACTGTACAAAATTCTAAAATATGCATTTGATTTAGTTTACTATCCTTATCTTATTTGTTGGTTGCACAATCAGCAAAATTTTGTAAAAAATCCTTTTAGAAGTTGAATGAAAAATTTATATTAATAAATATCGAGTTAATTATATAAATAATAAACTAATTGATAAATGATAGATGCTGAGTTGCGTTGGCGGATGTCTTCGCTCTTGGAATACTGTTTTGATTGTATTCACTGTGGCGATGTAAGTGCAATGCTAATATCGCGATCAAACCCATCAAGTGTCTTAAGGCCACTTAATAATTATTAATCAAGCTTGTTTATTAATAGTTAACAGGAGAAATACTTTAATCTGCATAATGTGTAATGTATTAATTATGACTTGCCAATCTTGTATATCTTTCTGTGATACGAAGGTTGTTGTAAAAGATACTGTACATCGCGAATATAGTGGTTTGTATGTGATATGTTAGAAAGGCAATTAAAACACTTCTTTCCCAAAATCAGACCTTTGCACACTGGGCGAAAAACAGTTCAGGGTATATAGAGGGAATTTTAACCGCTAATTGCCAGAAGGTTGGGTTGTTCCATGAGAAGCTTTCAGAGGGTAAGATAATATCATAACCAAACAGGTACATGGCCAGGATTGCTTGGGTAAGGCCAACCGATGTGATACGCAACTACTCCGCAAACGTTACAAAACTTTTTGACTCCACGCGCCGTCGCTTCAAGTATACATCCTCCAATCCAGAGTATACCGTAAAAAATTCTAAATGTGGACTTGATTTATTTTACTACCATTATCTTGTTTGTTGGTTGCACAATCAGCACAATTTTGTAAACAAAATCCTATTAGAGTTGAATAATAAATATTGAGTTGATTAATTAATCAATAAACTAATAGATAAATGATAGATGCTTATAAGCACTGAGTTGCGTTGACGGATGTCTTCACTCTTGGAATGATGTTCCCAGTTTTTGAATGTATTCTCTTTGGCGCTGTAAGTGGAAGGTTTATATTTGCGATCAAACCCGACAAGTGTCTTAAGGCCACTTTAAAGCTTGTTTATTTATAGTTAACAGGAGATATACTTTAATCTGCATAATGTGTAATGTATTAATAATGACTTGCCAATCTTGTATATCTTTCTGTGATACGGCGGTTGTTGTGAAAAGATACTGTACATCGCGAATGCTGTAGGTTATATGTCATATGTAAGAAATCAGACCCTTGCTCACTAAGCCAAAAACAATAAAAGGTATCATAGAGGGGAATTTTTACCCGCCAGATGCCAGAAGGTTGGTTTATTCCATGAGAGTCTTTCACAGGATTAGACAATGTTATAACCAAACAGGTACATGGGCACGATTGCCTGGGTAAGGCCAACCGAAGGAAACCACACATAGGGAAGAAAGAACGTTAACAAACAAAAATTATCTCACACTACCTTTGCACCATATGTAGAACGCAACATCTCTGCAAACGTTACAAAACTTTTAAACTCCACGCACCGTAGCGTCAAGTACATTCTCCAATCCAGAGTATACTGTACAAAATTCTAAAATGTGAGTTTGATTTACTTTACTATCATTATCTTATTTGTTGGTTGCACAATCAGCAAAGTTTTGTAAAAAAAATCCTTTTAGAAGTTGAATGGAAATTTTATAATAATAAATACACTGGCGCTGTAAGTGGAAGGTTTATATTTGCGATCAAACCCGACAAGTGTCTTAAGACCACTTTAAAGCTTGTTTATTAATAGTTAACAGGAGATAAACTTTAATCTGCATAATGTGTAATGTATTAATTATGACTTGCCAATCTTGTATATCTTTCTTTGATACAAAGGTTGTTGTTAAAAGATACTGTACATCGCGAATGCTGTAGGTTATATGTCATATGTAAGAAATCAGACCCTTGCTAACTAAGCCAAAAACAATTAAAGGTATTACAGAAGGGAATTTTTGCCCGCCAAATGAAAGTTGGGTTGTTCCATGAGAAACTTTCAGAGGATTAGACAATGTCATAGCCAAACAGGTACATGGGCAGGATTGCCTGGGTAAGGCCGATCGAGCAAAATAAAACCTAGAGAACAAAGTAAACACGCCTCCTCTTAAAAAAAAAAAAAAAAAAAAAAAAAAAAAAAAAAAAAAAAACGACCACGTCCAGTCAGATCGTATAGCATCTAGAACTCTGGCAAACAACTGGGCAATGATACTGTTCTAAGATGAAAGCAGGTTTAACCTTGTCAGAAGTGATGGACGCGTAAGGGTTTGGGAAACAACTGGTAAGAAGCATCTTTCCAATTTTCCACCTCTGGACGATGGGGCGCACCCCGCATAATTCATAGCATGGGTTGTATTGGTTACTTTGGTGTGGGCGAGCTGGTATTGGTCAATGGATACCTTAACGCATAGCAATGCATCCTAGCACTGGAAAGGAATTTTAAAGAATTCTGTCGATAATACCTCTGTGGACAATGCCTATCCAGTTAGGTTTCAGAATGTAAAGCCAATGGAACAGGTGGTCATTTGCAAACCAGATTCAGCCCCCCCCCTCTCCCAAGGTCAGCTCAATCACTAGATCAGAAACTCAATGACAATGTGTGGGATATCTTCGGAATAGGATTACTAATTGATAACCCTGGGAACAAAAATGACCTTATACTACCTTTGCACCGTAGGTGGAACGACACTACTCCACAAACGTTACCAAACATTTTGACTCCGCGCACAGACGCGTCAAGTACATCCCTCAATCCAGAGCATGCTGTACAAAATTCTAAAATATGCATTTGATTAAGTTTACTATCGTTATCTTATTTGTTGGTTGCACAATCAGCAAAATTTTGTGAAAAATCCTTTTAGAAGTTGAATGAAAAATTTATATTAATAAATATCGAGTTAATTATATAAATAATAAACTAATTGATAAATAATAGATGCTGAGTTGCGTTGGCGGATATCTTCTCTCTTGGAATACTGTTTTGATTGTATTCTCTTTGGCGATGTAAGTGCAATGTTTAATATAGCGATCAAACCCATCAAGTGTCTTAAGGCCACTTAATAATTATTAATAAAGCTTGTTTATTAATAGTTAACAGGAGAAATACTTTAATCTGCATAATGTGTAATGTATTAATTATGACTTGCCAATCTTGTATATCTTTCTGTGATACGAAGGTTGTTGTAAAAGATACTGTACATCGCGAATATAGTGGTTTGTATGTGATATGTTAGAAAGGCAATTAAAACACTTATTTCCCAAAATCAGACCTTTGCACACTGGGCGAAAAACAGTTCAGGGTATATAGAAGGGAATTTTAACCGCTAATTGCCAGAAGGTTGGGTTGTTCCATTAGAAGCTTTCAGAGGGTTAGACAATGTCATAACCAAACAGGTACATGGCCAGGATTGCCTGGGTAAGGCCGACCGAAGGAAACCACACATAGGAAAGAATGAACGTTAACACACCTCTTAAAAACGGTTTATGATATGAAGTACATGTACGTTGAATACTTACAAGATTTAAATCACGAATAGGGCAAACTATGTTTCTGAGTTAACCGTCAGAAGACAACTGCACAATTGCAGTTATTTTGGCAGGGTTGTTGTTAGGAGAATAGCGATCACCGCCAGACACCGACCACGTCCAGTCAGATCGTACATGTACAACAGAACTCTGGCGTTGGCACCAGGAAACATCTGGGCAATGGTACTGTTCTAAGATGAAAGCAGGTTCAACCTTGTCAGAAGTGATGGACGCGTAAGGGTTTGGGGAACAGGTTGTTAGAAGTGTCTTCCCAATGGGCGCCTAAAGCAGAACAATGCATCCAGGTACTGAGAAGGAATTTTTGGTAATTCTGTGGATTGAAGAGCGACAGTCACAGAGTAGTGATTATATAATAGTCAGAGCTTAAGCACAGTGTAATCACAGAATAAAGCTAACCTGAACTGATTGTTAATTAATGTCAGATGACACGTGCCAAACAGTGAAGTTAACCCGAGAGATTGTAATCCAGCTTTTTAAATTAATTTTCTTTGATGATTTTAAGTATGAAGAAGGCTTTTTGTTAAGTTTGGAGTTTAGGTCGTAAACATTAACTATTTTTTATCGTTTTGAATTACAGAGGTGCAGAGTTAATATCAAACAACGAGATAGAAACATTTGTATCAAAATTAAGGCTAATTTTTTAGATAATATTTTAGGCGTGTTTAATTATAATTCTTCCTACTTTGTGTGCTGCAGAACCAAGGAGTCAGTCTTTCGGCCGGCCACACTTTGCCTTGTCAAATAAAGAAATTTTTGATATTCGACAACGGTCCAGTTCCCCAGACAACCTTTGCGTGCAGTTAATGGGAAGATTGTTTACTGTTGATGAACAAATTCAAAGGGACAGAAATGTTAGGGGTGTAGATCGGAGAGGACCTGTTTGCAAATATAGACTGAAATATATTAAAGATATGGCCTACAAATGGTTATTACTCAAACAACTGACAAGTCTTCTTGGAAAAATGCATTCCATCCATGAACAAAGCAAATAAAAATAACAGGACCTACTATAAAGATAAAGTTCAATCGTTTTATAGTAAGTATATAGCAATAACGGTTTGAAGCCTAATATATATTACATGTACAAGTATCAGTACTGTTTTATTTGATCTTTCATAAATTCATTTATATGAGAATTCAATCAATTCATAGCTAAAATGTACACGAAAGTTGCTTTCATTACCGCATCTTTTTGGTAAAGTTACCTTATAAAAATCAATGTTGGCAAATTCTAATACTTAAAATCACCGTATCAGAGTTGAGTGAAACCACCGCGCATCAAAGGTCAATTAACGCTTAGACGAACACTTTATTGCGACCACGCTCAGCTTCGATCCTTATTTCAGTGAGCTAGGGTTAGGCTCTTTTGTTAGCAGAAAGTAAAACACGATAATTATCCGACGGGGCAGGACATGGTACTATTGTTAACAGGCCCAAACAGCGCATGGATGACAAGGCTATTTCCATGGTTACTGCGCCAGGCCGTATGATCAACCCGCAGCGACCCGCAGAGTAAGTAAGGGGACTTTCTGGCGGGTCTGTACCTCTGTGGACAATGCCTATCCAGTTATGTTCCTGAATGATAATGCAACAAGTGGTTATTTGCAAAACAGATTCAGACACCTCCATCTCCCCTGGCCAGCTCAATCCCTAGATCAGAACCTCATTGAGAATGTGTGTCATACCCTTGGAAATGGATTACTAATGGATAACCCTGCAAGCAAATATTAACTTATACTAACTTTGCACCGTTATGTGGAACGCCATTACTACACACACTTTTTTGATTTGGTTGCACAATCAGCAAAATTTTGTGAAAAAAATCTTTTTGAGGCTGAATAAAAAAACGTTGGTTCATGACATGATTTTCTGAATCACTTAACACAGAGGTGACGCTTTTGCTGGGAGAGTAACGCGTTTGTTTGCTCATTTATAAAAACGAAGACAGTAGTGTCGGAAATTTTATTAAAGTTCATCATTTACACTCTGAAAATGTAAGCACTACATAGTAATGCAAGGGCCTGATGTTATTTTAAACACAGTTTGGTTTCTATTTCAGATGCCGCATCATCTCGTAAAACGCGATTATCTTGTAGCCTGAAATAGCGCTTCATATTTTTGTAAATAAAGGTAATGTTAGCTAAAATAATCTTTCATTAAAGAACCTAAAAATGAAGAATATATATGCATATATGTGGTTTTGAAGTTACGGTCTTCATGCGCTGAAGCATGGCTGCTATCTAAATGCATGGAGTGCCATTCACACCGCTCAAAGTACAAAAATAAATAAATAAATAAATAAATAAATAAATAAATAAATAAATAAATAAATAAATTGCCTTTACAAGTTTTAAAAAACAACAGCCAAAGCTTTAAAAAACTGCAATTGTACTTACATCTTATAACCTGTTGCTTGTTATGCGACTTCCTTCGGGATCCGTTGACGATTGCAATCGATTTATAAGTAGTTTCCTTTGTAAAGATTGATGGCCCAGGCACTGTTCTCGATCGATCGATCAACTTATCTGAGAGTCGGAAGTCGGTCAGAGGAGAGATAAACAGCAAAATACATGTCACGCGACAACACCTCTTCCATAAACATGTGATCTAAGTTGATTTTGGACAAAATGGATCAATGACCAAAGTGCTGGAAAATCTTTATGTTGTCTTTGCTATTGTCTTATTCTTTAATAAAATAAGGTGATAGTAATCACGAGAATGGAAGAAAATAAAATGCAGGAAATAAAGACATCACATTTTAATACAACAATGACCACACTTACTGTTTTCAGTAGTGGCAGATTTGATTTCAGAGAAAAAAAAAATCAAACCAAATTGCCCCCCTCTTGAAATTAGAATTTTGACTAGCTGAATCATAAATCTTAACCGTATCAAAAGGCGTCGTTCGCCCTCTAAAATACCAAAATAAGGGGTGGGGAGTGTCGGCTTCACATCCTTCAAATGATCCTGGAAAACATGCCCCTGTACATTTTCGGTAAATTCTGCAGATCCGTTATTGTAGTGTTTATCACATCGCTCTAATCAGTGATGACAAACCGTGGCATCTATCCCATTAACAAAATAAAAATTATCACTTAGTACAATTTTTTTGCGATACACTTGAGGACTTCAGAAGGGATTTCCGCCTTGAGTATTTGTCGAACTTAGCTATGAAGACCTGCACCAAGCTAATTAAAAAACTACAACACAATGTGAACAGATAGAGCCATCATATCTCTTTTCTCGTCGATGATTCATCGAATTTCACTATCGTCTTAAATGGTGGACACTCGCACGCGCATATTTCGATATTTACAACCTAGGGAGTCACGCGTTATCCCTTCTTTGAGCTTAAATCGAGGGGAAAGTAATACCAACATTAAGTCCCCTTTACATTAGTAGGCGCTTTATGAGTCCCTAGTACATGTTTGAGAGTAAAAAATAATACTGACAACTGGCCGATAATTACGCATTCATTCTGCAACCAAAGCGATGCTTGTGCCTCATTTCTACGACTACAGCGATGCCAGTAACATGGTCGCACAAAGGACGCCGTCCAGTGTAAGGGTTTTTCAATAAAGTGGTATAAACTATTTTCGGATTTCTTACGGGACACAATTATAGACGGTGAGTACTAGACTATTATCGCTGACGTCAGAAAAGTTGTGATTCTTACTTTTTTTACTTTATTTTTACAAACCAGTACCGATATATATTCCCTACTTTTCGAGTCCTTTTTTTCTTATAACCCATTAAGTATTTTGCAAGAAATTGGACTAATCATGATTATTATCAGGCCCGTAGGCTGGGG